CGTAAACATTTATTTGTATGATTTAATTTTCGAAAAATAATATGGCTAGCCTCTCTTAAACTTTCATATGTTATAGAGAATTGTAAATTAAAATAGGTTTTTTTATTTTACAAATATTAGATGTGAAATCTTTTTTTCTTCTCTATTTCCCCTTAATTTCTAAGACCTTATTTAAGAAGTTAGTAAGTATAAGTATATAGCGAGAAAGACTCGTTGCTTTCTTTCGCTATGATATACGCGGGTATATATAGTTATATAGCTGTAGTCGGCATTTCCATGCACACCACTCCTCTCTCCGTAGGCACATATTCAGTATACCCCTTCCACGCGTCTCCGAAGTATGTGCCTACATGCCCATTTCCACGCGAATCTGTAGGCACACACTCGGTATACCCCCTCCACGCTTCTCAAATAAAAAAAAAAATATGTGTGCCTGGTTCGACCGCTTGGCCGCGACGGGGCGCTCGAAACAGTGGCCAAAAGTGAACTCGCGCCGTAGCATTGCAGTCAGCAATCTCTCTACTAATCTCTGATACTGTACACCACCGCCTCTCTTCGTCAACAACGCGTCAGTCCTGGTCAGTCGTCGTCGGCGACGCTTTATACTGGTATGCTGCAGTGTAGTGCTCGCGTCGTCCCCGTACACGAGTGACGCGGGTGCGGCCGGGATTCAAAAGAACTCACAGGGGTGTGCATCTATATGTGCAGTGCGCGTGTTTCATTGGACAAACATTTTTATGATCAATTATCGATGTTTCGTTTCAACGACTCGACCCGCACTACCTGACGTATAGGAGAGTGGAATTTCCCCCCCCCCTTTTTTTTTTTTTTCATTTCAATTTTCATTCGAACGAAAGTGATCGATCGTCCGAAACGAGTCCGGAGTCAGTCCTTTTGGTTGATGGTGTAACAACCCGCGGTGTGGTGCGAAAAAAAAAGAAAAAAAAAAATGGGCTCCTCGCTCGTCCTCAAGTCGCTGTCCATCCTCTTGGGGCTGTTCTTCGTCTTTGCCGGCACAACGAAGCTAACCTCCTACACGAGCAAGGAACTTCACAAGGACCTGGTGAGTCGGCCACCCCCTCCCCTCGGCCCCTGTTTTTTGCCACCCCCTTCATGTCGTCGTCTCGCTTTCGCTCGCGATCTTGGACCCGTTTGTCTTCCCGTCTGCTGCGCGTTTTGCCAAAGTTCAGCCGCCAGACCTTCGTTTTATTTACCCACCTTACACATACACCAGCACAACTACGTATATACGTGTAGTGTGTACCCCCCACCAGCGTTGTTTTCGCTTTACCCACGGCGACACTGGCCTAGACACCCGCCACCCGCGCGTTTCATTGTCCCGCGGAGCTATATATACTTGGAGTGAAATTTCCGAGCCGGCCGATTCGCTCGTTATTCGTCAACCGCGATTTATCGTTTGTGCGAAGAAGAGCATCAGGGAAACCCGGAAATCCCTGTGTGTCACGCGGAGGCCGCACGAGCGTGACAGTTTTCGGACCCGCGTCTATATACATCCGTATACTTTACGCGTTACCCCGAAAATCTAAATTTGCCATTATCCGCTGGCTCGAAACTGGCATGAATATAAGTACTCGCACAACCAACAAGTCACTTTATTGAGAGGAGATGAGAGGAGGCCCTTAACACCTTATTTTTTTTCTCTCTCTCTCTCTCTTTCTTTCTTATGTAATTCCGTGCGTATAATTATATACTAGTTTTGCACAAACGACACGCGAGGACCGAGTTCAGAAAAAATTAAGCTCGCGCGCGTGTATACGTATACATGTGGATGAGACGAGACAAAGCCTATATTTAAAACTCTTCCCGGATTCGGTACCATATCTCTCGTGTATTTATACACACCGGCGTTTGATATCGTCAAGCCTCTCTCGCAGATCTACAATGTATATATAAATATTATCTCTCTCGTCCGAGAGACACGCGCGAACTCGATACTGTAGCTATTTTTTGCGCGGCATCTCAATAGAGACCCAGCTCTTTTTTTTTTTTTTTTTTTTTTTTTTTTTTTGCGTCTATATATTTACACATTGGGGGGATGAGCGTGCAGTGATTCACGGTTATTTCCGTTAAAGCGATGCCCGTGAAAATTTACCCCTGCCGTGCAATCACGTATACTATACATAATATATGCCGGTTAATTACGTAACACTCGCCCATTTATGTACCTATACCCTGTATACAATACATATATACCCACTCTGACGGCGTGTAAAGTTCAACAACGTGTTTGCGTTGAGGAAAATGACGAGATTTTTTTGATGCACCTGTTGTAAAAATCTTTTTTTCATTTTTTTTTTCTCATTATTATTCGAGTCCATTGATCCATGACAAAACACGTGCTGGATCGTTTTGTCAGCTCCTCCCGAGAGTGAATTAAATACCCGAAAACGACAGAGATAAGCTTGATTTTTTTCAAACAGTACAAACACACGTTTGTTCGGTCATTTATCTCGTGAAACATCCGATTGAGCTTTTCTTTTTGTATCTACAAATATATAACATTGTTCACCAAAAAAAAAAAAAAAAAAAAGTTGAAGCTTTCATCTGATCGAGCAACCCTCAAACTATACGTGTGGAGGAGAAAAGAGAAAAAAGTTGTATGGTTTAATTGGCGTGAAAAGAATCTTTCAAAGCGCCGAGATGTTTTTTTTTTTTTCGGGGTACATGAATGCCTTTTTATTGAATCTAACGAGGGCGAGCTGTTTGTTCTCGGTGTGTATGCCCGAACAATAGACCACGAATGAAAAGCCAAAAGTCGATTCGCGTAGAGTTTTCAAAGTTCGAGGTCCCCCTTCTTTTAATTCAACAGGTCCGGTGTACGTGTGTAAGTACTCGTGTTCGAGGACTAGGAAATAAAAAATTTCAATCATTCGATCGGTCCGTTTCGTCTAAGATTGAACGGAACAGTCTAGAATTTTGCATGTATGAAAAATATCGATCGGTAGCTCGCGCCGGTTTTAACCGCAAAAATGCTTTTCGACAACCACGAGCGTAAGCTCTCGAGCACCCGTCAGTCATACTAAAAGGAAAAAAAGAAAACAATGAAACGTCCAAGAGCCAAAAAGGTACAAATCGACGTATACACAATTTAAGCAAAATCATCTGACGCGCTTTCGTACACACGCGAAAACAGCTGCTATTTCTGCCCGACAACTTGGCTACAGTTCCCACGCATCTACAACCCAGCCTCTTTTTTTTCCCTGCAACACAATGTACATGATAAATCGATGTTTCGATCGTAAAAGCAACAATCCGTGATTTTGTTCGCAGAGAAAGGAGTACGTGAAGTATGCGAAGGTCTTCCCGTTGGCGGCGACGCTGGGCTTCAAGGTGCCGAGCAAGTGGTTCAGGCGAGTCGTCGGCTCGTTGGAGATCATCTCCGGCTTGGCCATGGCCCTCGTCCCGAGCAGTACGTTTTCGGCTCTCTTTGCCCTCATTCTCTCGGGCAATCATAATATTTGCTTCAAAAACAGACAACTGTATACATATATACGAGTGACCAAACACATTCAGTTATTTCGGCCGGTCTGACTGTTCCTGGGTTATACTACTTGACCCTTTTATTCCTAGGCCGCGTTCGAACAGCATCCATACTTTTTGCTGTACTGTATTGTTATTTATTTATTTTTTCTCTCTTTTTCAGAAAAAATAAAAAACGCCTCCAACGGCGTGCTCGTTATGCTCATGCTGCTGTCGCTTTACTCGCACTACATGGTCAACGACAAATTCGAGAGGATCGCGCCCGCGCTGGTGAGGGAGCTTACCGATTTTTCCGTTTCACATTACCAGTGCATTTTGATCTTGACTGTACAAATAATGTTTGTATCGAAAAATGCGCAGGTGTTCTCATTCATGTTGACGGGTCGGCTGGTAATAGACTGGCAGCTGCGGCGAAAAGAAAACTTGGCCGCGACGGTCAACGGAGTCGACGATAGAACGAAGAAGCAAGACTGAAGCCGTGTTCAAGGAAAAACGGAATCAAGTCTCCAATTCTTTGGTTTTCACAATTTTTCGCATGCCAAGCGATGGAAACACAACTACTACCTATGTATACTCAATGACGGGTCATCGTCGTCCAATATGAAGAATCTAGTCAACTCGACATGCCTACGATGAAGGAATAATGAACTTTGTTGTTATCGTATACTATGTATATGCACGTTCGTAGAGGAGCGTTGATATATTTTTTTTTTTAAACATAAGTGATTGATTGACTGTGTGACGATCCATGTAGGCTTTTCACGAAAATAGAGGAGAAAAATTAATTGCCAAAAAAAATAGGACTTTAGTAAAAAAAATTTACCGCCTTAAAATGCAGATTTTTAGACGATCGAGTCTGCGTTTATAGTGAAATAATTTTAAAAATGAAAAGAACAATCGAATGACGGTATTGTCAAAGAGACTCGAGTAACCGTAAAACAAGACGATAAAAACATAATACTGTGCTTTTTTTTTTTTTTTTTTTTTATCTTCTAAGCACGAAACAAACGATTTTTACAAAATTTTCTCACTTTATACTACTCAGGAAAATTCGCCGAATATTTACAAATAAGTCGAATAGAACGTAGCCTTGATCTACTCTTTTGACATTAAATCCTGCAGCTGATGCGCTGCTAAGGTATTTCTACTCGAAAATAATGTTATTGTTCATACAAACGTGCACATTTATAAACATAAATCTAGTTAGGTAGGATGCAATTGCACACACGCGCCGAAACAGCATAATTAAAGTAGACACGTATTTTAAACGTGATGTACGATCTTAAAAACTCTGTCGTGATGTTACTTGTTCCAAGTATTTTATTTATTCATTCATTAAATAAAAATCTATGAAGTTATACTTCAAAGAGTATTTTTCACGATACAGTACGCGTCATCAAATATTTATTACCCTTAATATGTACAAACACAAAAATCACAATAGATGAATAGTTTAATCTTTTTTTTCGAAATTAAGATTGTTTTCTCTTCCTTCACAACAAGTATATAAAATACAATTGTCGATGTAAAGTTAATTGTACAATGTGTTCATTTAATAAATCAGAATAAGTTTAATTTGTGGGTTATTTATTTTCAGCAAAATAGATACCATAGACGTGCGAAATGTAAGGCTTTGTTTCATTTGTTTACTGACTAAAATCCGTAATGTACAGATATCGTGATTGTATTATTTACAAAGCTATCAAGGCGTCTCAAACTTTGTGAGTGTAATAGTATTCTCTCGCCTTTTTCTAAAAATATCCTTTATTTATAGTAATTTAAAAAAAAAAATCTTAAAATATATAAAACTTTGCAAGCAACAGTTAAATTACGTGAAAAAGTGAGCGACAACCTCAAGTATTTTCAAACAGGATCTTTGCCAGTCGTCAAGAGTTGCAGAGCCTTCTGTAAATTCGTGATCGTTGTTGGTACGTCATCATAATTTAAAGCACTGCCAGCCCATTTAATGTATTTCTGGGCTTTTTCCGTCTGCTCGACGGTTAACTCGAAGCCACCTTTAAATTCATTTTAACAGATTAAAAATACGCACCAGCAATGAAAAATTTTTCAATGCAACAAAATTAAATGTCGTTCACCTCCAGCTGTTAACGTTGGCGTATTACTATTGAATGGTGCAATATTACCGACGCCAGGATTGGTGGGTGTTGGGGCTGGATTGTACGTATGCGGTTCTATCACAAACAAAACTTACTACTTATTCCATTTTATAAGGTATACCCTTGTAAACACTTGTATATTTTCATTAAATCATTCGTATTAGCAAATAAACGCCCATGACAAGAAAGCGGTGCTGTTGAAAAATGCATATAAGCCTCGTGCGTGCGGTAAAAACCTAACATTTAAGAAATAATTTGTTTAAAAGTTACCGGATTGTTCATTGTTTTCGTCATTATTTTTCTCAGCTTCAACTGCTTAGAATATTTTTTTATAAATTGAAAAACTTGGCATAAGTAATTTAACAGTTATATCAAGAGCCGTAATTTGCAAGTTAAAAAAAAATAACCAAGTATCGCTTTCGACACAACACCGACGCTGATTTGAAATTACTAGAATTTTCGTTATCATTATTTTCAACGGCCTTGATTTTGACTGCTTAAAAATTTTTAAAAACAAGTTAAATTATCTTTGGTTAAACTTTATAATCACAAAAAGTTATAAAAATCTACCATCGTTTTTATTTTCGTTATCCTCATACTCAGTTGCTTAAAAATGATGAAATATCAATTAGAATTGTAATGCATGACATACCTGGTACCGATGGAAAACCAAATGCTCCCATGTTAGTTGGTGGAGTTGATGGCAGAGTAGGTTGCATGGGCATCATAGGATGAGTAGGCAATGTTGGTTGAGTAGATTTCGACATGCTGCCTAAAATTAAACATCAATGCACAAAATCATTTAACAAAATTGTTTTTTGTATTTAGGTAGTATCTAAGTATTTTTTGCTGGGTCTATTGAAGAAAGCATAAGACTTTAGTCAAGCCTGAAATTCAAAATTATCGAGTTACCGTAATCTTGCATATTCCCGTTATCCTCGTTATCCTCATTATCAGCTGTTCAAAGAAAATTTGATTCATCTTTAATTTAATTTTTTTTTTGTATAAGAAAGGGAACGATTATTATGAATTTACATGAAACTGCACTATGAGGGGGGTTAAATGACTTGAAAAATGAGAACAAAAAACTATCTAAATGCAGTAAAAAAAAAAAAAAATACAAGAAACCATAACAGTTCTAAAAACTTTACCTGAATCGTTGTCAACGTTTTCATTGGAATCATCGTCATCCTCCTTCATTGGTCCAGGTATGGGTGTCTCACCATTCTTCAAGCAATTATGTATGTAAGCAGCCTTCCACTTGGCGTACTTTCTATTCTGAACAACCTCTTCGCTAAGCTCCCCGAATACCGAAAGAATATCGTACAGCAGACCAGCAGTGTAAAAACTCTGTATAACGGCCTTGCTGAAGTTAGAAGCCCTGTCCTGTTTGTCGGCAAACAAAAAGAGTTTTAGAGCCCAGTTCTCAATGTGAGCTTGAGCTGCAACGTCGTTTGTGATGGCCTCGTTATCGTGATTCGCCTTTTTCATGCTTTCTAGCCAATCCATCAGCTTCAAAAGAAAGTTTGTCTCTTCGGTGGTCTTTGTTGACAGTTTCAAACCGGTTTGTAGAGCATACAGCCGACCTGAAATTAATACAAATCAATAAGTTATCCCTTTCTTGCTGAAAGACGTGATTTACATGGCACTTTCAGGTGGACAGTTTTAATGAAATGGTTTAATTCCCGAAGTAACGATAAAAATGTTACACTCACACCAGTAGCTGACAACAATGTCTCGAGCATCGTGTTCGTTTGCAATCTTCAAGTACGGATGGATACTCTTAAGCTGTGACGGTGTCTCCGGTAAATCTGGTCCAGCCATCCTTTATCCTGGGTTAATACCTTAACAATAAACAGTAAAAAAAACCTGTTTTTTTCACACAACAGTTGTCCCGAAACTACAATTTACAACGACATGCATGATAAGCTATCTATAAAATGTCATCAGCTGGTCTGTCTGTCAAGTGCGGGGGAACTGGGAAGTCGGATTGGTTAGTTTTAATTCAAGGGAACGTGGAACTTCAGAACAAATCGGATGGTGAAATCAGGCGGCCTGATTTACCTGATTAGAGTTATTTGAAAAAAAATCAACAGTTAAGTAGTAAGTACATAGAACGAGTGCCTAATGAAAAGAGTTGACATCTCCTTGTGGACGGCCGTTCTGATTGATTGTTCGTCAACAGAATGGAGACGAAAATTGTTGAAAATGTGATGGACCAGGAGGTTTTCGAATCGATTGTGCAGCAAAAGGGATTTTACGAAAATGCAGCTAAATACTGGGATGGTATACCACCTACGGTTGACGGTATGCTAGGAGGTTTTGGATACATTTCAAAGACAGACATCAGTGGCTCGAAACTGTTTCTAAAGTCCCTTTTCAAGGTACGTTGTTGCAATGTGCTCGTGAATTAAATTTTTTATTTAAGTGACTGACGATTAATCCGGTTGGTTTTAGAGTCAAGAAGGTTTGGGAAGGGAACGAGCTTTGGATTGTGGTGCTGGTATTGGCAGAATTACAGGCAATTTGTTGGCAAACTATTTTGACGTTGTTGATCTGGTGGAGCAAAACCCAAAATTTTTGGAGCAGGCTAAGACGTATTTAAAAAAGTCTTCCAACAAAATTGGGAAATTTTTTTCTGTTGGTGAGTGAATCCTGCATTTAATTATTTCCTAAGGGAGTTAAAAAGGGTAAAAGGGTAAAAGGGTTTGCAGGTAAAATACAATTTGCCGATTCTTACGTAGGTCTTCAAGATTTCTGTCCAGAACCAAATACTTATGACGTTATATGGTGCCAATGGGTGCTGGGTCATTTGAATAATGATGACCTAAACAAATTTTTCCACAACTGCAAGTAAGCATGAAAAATAGATTCATAACAATGTTCTAATCAATGTTTGATACACTTATTAAAGGTGATTTTGTATTTGTAGAAAAGGACTGAAAAAGAATGGTGTGTTGGTAATAAAAGAAAACGTCACAAGTTCTAATCTGGTAGAAATTGATGAGGGAGATTCATCAATGACTCGTCCGTACATAGGATTAGTGGAAGCATTTAAAAAATCTGGATTTCTTTGTATCAGCGAGGAAAAGCAGCAAAGTATGCCACAAGGACTTTATCCAGTTTATATGTTTGCATTGAGGCCTTGTGATAGTGGAAGCTGAGGTTTTATTTATATAGTAACAAGTATTTATTTTTTTAAAATAATATACGGTTTTTCAACTGAGACAATAATTACATTTTTAATATCACATTGTTTGGTTTCATTATTATCTGGATTTTTCGTACAGTCTATACGCTTACGGAAATGGAACGTCTTTTCCAAACATTGTATAATTAATAATATTCTTAGGAAAATTCAGTTACTTACTAAGAACAAGAATAAGGTAGTACTTTTAAATGATTAAATACTCCATTGAAGTATAAAAACACGCATATAACCCTAAATAAAACTATTTAAATAAGATTTTGTAAAAAAATAGAAATAGCACATTTTTATGTAACATTCAAAAGTTCACAGTTAAAATTGTATAAAGTAAAACAAATTTTTTTATGTTTTATACATGTAGATAGAAGAGATATAAGAAATCAACATTATTTCTTTCACAAAGATTTGTAAGTTGATTAAACTTGAAAATACTATTTTTCAATACATGAAAATTTTGTAAAAATCAAATCAGTGGGTAAAAAAGTCTACCTACTTTGGTCTAATTTTTTCATAGAAAAAACGCTGATTAACATCTTGCACAGAAGCGTTTATGACACGTCTTTTTAGAGCATGGAATTGAGATAAGGCATAATTGTAAAGTTCGTTTTCCATCTTCCAAACTACAGTTTTTTGTATTTTTTTCACTGTTTCTGGAAGTGGCTCAATCTTTTGTGTAGTTTGTCTCAAGTGAGACTTATTATCTAAAAAAAAAAATTTATTGAGAATGGCTTCAAGTTATTTTTATGTAAATTTACCATTACTTACTATGCAAAAAGAGATTATGAGCACCCTTGAAAAATCTCGGCAAAATTGATTGAAGAACCAGTATAAAATCTGATAACTCCTCAGTAACACCCACAATAAGATAATGCCTCTGAAGATTTCTTTTTGCTTCTTCTAAAGCCCATTGATTACCAACTTCCCTAAAATGTTTTAATCTTATTTTGGAAGAAAATCTTCGTACAGCATAGCATTCTTAACTTTAGAATAAAAAGAGGCATTTAATCATCTTACCAGCAAGCTGGATCATGCCCGCAAAGAAAAGGGATTTGAAGCCACATATTGTTAGGATCACAATCTGCTTGCCCAGCATTGATGCACTCATCAAAAGTTTTGGTATCTCCATGCTTTCTTCTAATTAAGTGAGGTCTAAAGTTATCTCCGTATCTTAAGAAATAGTAGTAGGATACAAATCTATCTAGTGGCTTACGCAGTATATTTATGTACAGTGGTCTATTGTCAAAGCCGAATCTGAAAAAAAGATTATGGAATTCTGCAAAGTTTCAAAACGAAAAAATATGTATTTTTTTATCACCTACTTTTGAAAATTCAAAAAAGCTATGTGACCATGATAAAATGCCGGTTTCATGGAATCCCAGTAACTTATATTACGAACAAATTGCATCTAAAAAGATAAGCGTAAAATTAATAATTTAAAAAGTATCATTCAAAGTAGCAAATAAAAACCTACTTGATTAGCAGGCATGAGAGTGTGCATATTGTTTGTAATGTTTATATGAAGTGCGTGGTACTTGTTTTTTTTACACAAGTCATAAATAACACCGACAAAACTTGTAGAGCCCGTTTTTGGAACTCTGTTGTATATCACGACGTAAGAGTCGTCCTTTGATAGCGGATGTGTCTGTGTCTTAGACTCCGGCGTTGGGTTGTTTTTAATTTCAGCTTTGAGCTGTTGAAGTGCATTTTCTACAACATACAATATAAATCATAAGAACACATAAACATTGTCGGAATTTACTTGTCATGTATTTTAATCAAAATTTTACGTATGCACTAACGTAGATTTTCATTTGTTTCCTCCAGGTAGTTTAAGCGTATGTTAACATAAATTGCGATGAAAGCGAACAACACCAAATAAACCCATTGAAACGAAAAAGTTCTAAGTAACATTGTAGCACTTCATTTGAGATATTTTGCTATTTTTGTGTTGGAACAACAAACGTAACCTCTATACACACGCTCGGCAAAAGTACAGCCCACTTTTTGGTTCAACACATACGATCGCACACTGACCACCTGACACTTTGATACTTCGGTGGTGCTTCATTGGTCAAAAAAAAAAAAAAAAAAAAAAAAAAAAAACAACCGACTCCAAAAACAAATATATAGTTGCTCTCGTACTGTTTGCACTACACTTATCGCAACATCTTTTGACACGATCTATTCCAAAAACTGTTCTGGCCCATGTACCCAAATAGATTTTGTATACAGTTTGATTAACAACTCAAGCTATCGCTATGGTTTATTATTTTTCATAATAAACGAAACGGAACGTACAATTTAAGAAAACAATTAAAACGTACGTTTTGCATAAAAGTAATCAGTAAACAAACGACTCCGAATTTCGAATCTCCCGCCTCTGCTGCAGCTCCAAAATTATAGTTCCACGAAATCCAACCAGACGTCACTACCGTACTGCCCCCCCTTCCGGCAGTTCCTGTGTTATTTTTTTAGTTTTTTGTTATCAAAGCGGAGAGAGAGAGAGAGAGAGAGAGAACAGCGCGCAGCAGCAGACCGTCCGCGTCTGCACTCTGCTGGCGTTTTGGCGGCGAGAGGCAAAAAGAGTGCTTTCGCTCCAATCGCGTAAAAAAGTAGGGATGGATGATAAAATCATGAGGAGGAGGTGGTGTGCGTCGTCGTCGTCGTCGTGTGATCATCAGTCCGATTCTGATCGTCGTCGCCGTCGCGCTCGCCCACAGTGGAATATTATTACGCCAAGTGTTTGATCGTCTGCGTGTGTGCAGTGCTCTCGAGGAACAAGAAAAGTCGTACGTTCTTCCTTCGCGCTCGCTCGACGCGTTCACCCATTTGTTTTGATCGTAAGAGCGAATCGAAGGAATCAAGAATACAAATTAACGATGGTGATAACAACGTACGAGGAGGGCCGAGCGGCGCGTGATATCTGCGCGAGAGAGCGAGCACTGACCCGCTGAGAAGTACACGAGAGTTGTGATCTCTGCAGCAAGTGCGCGGGGCCAAAGGGAGCAAGAGGGGAGCTCTGAGCTGAGTGCATGCAGAATTGAGTTGTGTATTTTTATAATTATAAAAAAAAAAAAAAAAAAAAAAAACATGCAAGTACATACGATACACATATATGTCGCGGGAGTACGGTGAAGTGTGTCTGTGTATATAAAAAGCTGTAGTGTGGATAAGTTTGGGCTTTCTTTCGTGGCGGGGAAGAAAAACCATATATTTCACATGTACAGTGACGGTGTGTTTTTTTTTTTTTTTTTTTTACGTATTGTTGTGAAAAGAGATATAATACAGCAGACGGAAAATTCTGAAGTATAAAAAAAGGGAGTTGTACGTTAGAAGAAGAGGAGGATCGTTGGCAGGTGAGTCCTATATGGTGCATCAGCTATACTGCTCTTTTCTTTCCCTCCTTGACTTTCTGCTCCGGTTTTTTTTGCGTATATATGCGTCTACGCGATCGTATTACGTGGAATATATCGATCGCTCGTTTATTTATCTTTTTTCTTACTTCGATCGCTCAAGGCGTCCTTGCCGAGGATACAGGCGTACCTGTCGCCTCTCTCTCTTCCAGCTCCTTTCGACTCTTGTACACTCACGGAACCCGTTTTGCGAGTTTTTCCCCCTGATCGGAGAGGTTTTTTTTTTATTTTTTATTCATTTTCTTCCGTCTTGCTCTCTCTTTCTCTCTCTCTCAGTTTCTAACCTAAACTCTTTTCTCTCCCTTATTCAACTCCAATGTTGACTCAGCTTCCGTCTATGTTAATAAAATATATTTGCAAGGGAGGTCACGAATTTAGTCTAGCTATTGTCAATAATCACATCAGAGGTGTCATTCTCATGCATTACATATGTGTACAACATACAATTGATACAATGCCTACACACATACAGTATGAACGCACACATACATTTTGTTGCCGTCATATGATGCAAATGCTAATGGTAGCTGTATCAGGCTACCAAGTGTCAAACGAGTGCACCCCACTCTCTTGCTCACTCTTAGTACATCTCTGTCTACCAATTATATATTGCAACGTCGTACTAAGTACAGAGAAGGTTGAGGTTATGGAGCATCCTCTCGACGATCAGAGAGAGTCTTGTCGCTCTCTCGTTTTGATGCCTTATTTCAAGCGCTTCGGGTTTCGTGTCGTATCTTCGTTCATCGTCGATATCGAGTATCCCTATATTCTACACATATTTATTTCGTATACTGTCCTTATATCCACGTCTATAATATATTCCCTTGATGTTATTGTCATGCTGCTGCCATTGCCCCTTCGTGTCTTTTCCTTCCTATCCTTCGTCATTCGAAGAGAGCTCTCATCTTCGAGTAGTTTCTTCATTTGTTCCTTTTATAATTTATAAAAAAATTCGTTTCTCACTCTATCGTGCATATTGCTTTTTGCTAATTCAATTCATTTGATTAACGAACTTATTCCAGTAAACTGCTGGCCTAGTTGTACAACCCTCTAATTTATCTCTACCGTTCCTTGTTTTCTACATTTGTCTCTCATCAAGCTAGACGTAGTGTCGCCATCAAACTTAGTTATATTTTTAATTCGTCATATTTCGACAGTTCTCATATTTTCAATGCGTAAAATTAACTCCCTGTATTCGACTTACGTGTTCTTTGAAAAAATCTAATGACATACGCATTCAAAGCTTCGGAAAAATTTTGTATTATAAGTATGGTATTAGAGATGCACCATGTATAAAGGGTGTATGAGAGGAGTTACTACGTTACGTACTATACAACGAGAGTTCATTCAAGCGCCGGATAGACGAGAGTATTGACGTTTTCGGGCTTGGAGCTCAAAGTGGAGCGGAGCACGAAATTTCTAATATCCAATCCACATGGACTGTACGACTATTTATATACTTAATACGTTTATTTATCACCCGTCACGTGTCGCATATTTTCCGCAGCATGTGGCTGTTTGTTTTGTTTTCATCTTAAACAAAACAAAACAAAAAAAGATTGATCAAAAGTGCTGTTTGTTGTTCATGATTTCTGTTGTTTGTCAATAAAGTGTTTTTTTATCACCTTCAATGATCAACTAACTTCTGATAACTCTTGAATTTTCATACGAATCCAAACTTAATTATTTTTCTATGAACCAAAGGCTATATTCGTCAGAATAACAAAAATATATTCGATAGTGCATTTCGAGGTGCATTTGAACTGAGGATAGTTGAAACACTAATGATTCACCTGCGTTGAAAATATAGCACATAAAAAACAGCTACTAAATTATCAACATGTCACACCTTGAATGTACTATTTCGCCACCGAGATAACAGCCACCGAAATCGGTATCATACTCGCCTAGTTAAAGAAAATCTATCAGAGTTCTCTGTCTTGGAAATTTCCTCAACTTTGTTGACTCCTTTTTTTTAACGAAAATCTTCAAGCAGTAGGCGTTTTTCTCGAAAACGTTCCTACTTGTTTCTTGGGTAAAAAAATGAAAAACTGTACGCTCTGTCCTCCACCTATCCGCGAGTCAATTATCCGCAGACGGCCTCTCTTCCGACATGTAGCTTTCACCGTCACCCTCGCACAAGAGAGAGATAGAGATTCAGCAATATTACAGCGGCGCGCGCGGGAATTACCGGGGAAATTGAATTTTCGCGACTCCTTCGCCTGTATATATACCTGTTTCCCAATATTCGCGTGTCGGGTGGAGGCGAGAAATGAAAATTCCAGCGTCGTTCGACTGAGAGAGGCTGTCTTCGATGAAAATTTGATTTGCCGGCCGAGTAATTTATAGATCAGAGACACTCCATAATTACGGGGAGAGGCGATGCTCCATTGTGTATTCAATGATCGTTACTTCCAGAGCGTAGTACTAAAGGGTTCCTCCTTGTTTTTTTTTGTCAATTCGAGCTGTACGTTTTTTCAAAAGTTACCAGCTTTACAGCATTTTGATGCTTGTTTTTTGTTAAATTCATAAATCGAATGGTAAAGAAAAAGAATTTTTCAGGATATGATCCTTTTTACGCCCTTTCTCTCTCCAACTGCGGATAACGTTGCGCAATACTTGACAAGTAGGTCGGATATAAATACATGATGCAGTACCCGTGTGAATTTTAATATCTGATATTACAATTTTAGCAGTACCCCCGTAATCTCTAATAATAGCGCTTTGTGGAATACACCCATGTCGTATACCTATATACCTACAATACTGACAACCTGTCGATGATCTCATGAAATTTTCCTTTAATAAAAATTGCGACAGGCTTTTCAGAAAAAATCCAACGACTCGCAATATATATATGCATACAATATAAAATATATACCATACGCGTGTTACATTTATAATTAATAAATGAGTATTTCAATTTAATCCAATCTAATGGCAATGGTAGTGATGAGACATTATTAAAGAGTTTATAGACGGCAAGAGCCAGTGTCATGGACTGTTGTTAACGAATAAATACAACTAAGAACTTTTATCTTTGCATAACTTCTACATTGACCAAATGCAATAAATTGCCGACTATAAACTCGTTTTTTTTTTTTGTTTTGTTTTGTTTTGTTTTTTTTTGTTTTGTTAATATTTTCCTTGCCCTCGACAAAATATGACTAGAGTAAGCTTCTTTGATTTATTAACCTTCGTTTATCCAAAAATTCTATTTGACAGGTCGACGTGGTGTATTATTCGACCCTGCCTTTGCTCGCTCTCTTCTTGACGACTGCGCGTTTTTTTCATACCCGTTACACACACTACTTATATTATTATCCATGTATCGTACCCGTATAGCTTACTCTGCCTCTTTTTCTTCAATTTATCAGCAACACCCAGCCCGAACACAACAGCAAAAGTAGAGAAGAAGACGAAGAAGGTGTATTTATCATTGTAAACACTTACACAATTTCCACTCGACGTCACGGCACACACCATTTCGGTGAACGACGACAATATAATACAGCCGATGAGGCATTGTCAAGGACACTGTAAGCGAGTGTACCTATATATATTCTATTACTGTACCAAAAAGGACAGGTGACTCGCGAAAAAACTGTTGAAAAAACAATCCTACGTATTAGACACACACACGTTTTTTCATTACGTAAAGCATGACGCGCCAGCCGATGTCTCTTGTAAGAAACAGATAATGTTGTAGAGCGCGAGTCCTGGAAAAGTGACAATTTTCTCCCTCTCTTTATCCATGCGCTCTTTTTCGTCCCCGAAGGGATCGTAAATCATGGCGAATATATGCCCGTAATATCCAAAATAATTAAAAAAAAAAAAAAAAAAAAAAAAGTATAAAATTATAATATATACATCCCTATACGCGGATGAGTGTCGGAGACAAGCGTTCTCGAGAAGTATAAGTAACATACATATATCGACATATATTATATCGTAAACTTGAAAATCCAGCTGGTGCAGTCTGTATCACCGTGAATGCGCAGATTCGCATCATCTCCGGTATTCCCCGAGTCGACGATCGTCGATGTTGCAAAAAAAAAACACGCCGCTCTGGGACACGCGTATCGTACCTTTGCCGAGTATACCGTGTATATGTATGTGTCCCCGCTCAACTCGATGCACACAGAGTCAAGGGGGATGTATACGATAAAAAGAAAAAGAGAGGGAACCGATCGCTACCGATAATTGGCTTTCTCTCTGCAAAATGAAGACGTCTCTCTTCCGTCCCAAGGGTGCGTATATATATGTAGCTGTTGCTTCCGCGAAGAGCTCGAGTAAATTTTTTTCAATCGACCATCCAAAAGCTACGGATTTACTGTTTTTTCCTGCTCATTTCTCGCACGCGTGACTCTGCAGTACTCATACGTTCTAGCGAGGATTTTTTTTTTTTTTTTTTTTCTACACCAACTAGAGGAGAAAAAAACTTTTGAAATCAAATCGCTAACGATGAACTTGCTTGTTTCTCTTCCCCCGGGGTGTATATATATATATATATATATATATATTTGTACGTGACATTGTTTGTATCGATCAAAGTAAAGAGAGAGAATAGTACTGATATAATGTATAAGTACTCAATTTGTCGATCGAACTCGGTCTCGTTAAAGATTCAGTCGGTTGTTACAAGTTCAATCGGTAAAACCAATCAACGAATGTGTTCACTGTACGGAATCTCAGAGCATATAGAGGGCCCGGTTGAAACCGTAACCTGCTCATATCAACACTTCCATAAATTTATTTCCTATTTTGTAAGGTATAAATATACTCTTCTAGACATATATACATCATAGTTTCCAAAGGTCCTACCGGAGGTAACGTGACAACTCTGCGCTCGCAAAAAAATATTTTTTCTTACCTCCACACACACTTTTTTTTGTCTCGACACTGCCATTACCACCTGTCGTATAGCTTATGTCATTAGTTTACATGTATACATGACAAGTTCGTATGGACATAAGGAAAGCCTATACACCTACACGCTATTATCTCTCATCGCACCCGCGATCTCGGTAATCACAATGCGTTAAATACTATCGATGTTTGATCGAACAAGCGATAAGTACCACATGTATCGATGTCCATACTTTCTTTGTTCTTCTTTGAAAATATATTCGTAATCTTATTCGTTGTTTAGTTAACTTTTGTTTTGTTTTCATTGTAGCGCGACATATATTCCACACGTTTAATTTATCTACAGATATGCGCAAGTTTTTGTTTTTCAATAATAACTTGAGCTCATTAAAATGTAGGTGTGTTCATTAAAAAAAAAAAAAAAAAAATCGTCCAACACGAAAAATCTGCACAAGGTGTCCGGACGGATTTATTGACCTGTTCCGCTCATCATTTATTACATACCGCACACGCATCTAAAATCTTTTGTACGTGCAGTGTCATACGCGCGCTCCTCGAAACAAAATATCATGTGAAACCCCGTCACACATATGTATATGTATACACACACGTTTACTCGCGCAATAATCTCACAGGCTTCTCTGCTGTCCAGCTGTTCACCCACGCCACCCACCACTACCAACAGATATTATACATATTAGGTATATACTTGTAGCGCATTATTTCAGCGCTCGCCACTTAAGTTCGCGAGCGAATTTATACTCTCCGCGATAAGCTCCTCCTGTTTCTTTCTTTTGTGAGAGCATTTTTATAGTATAGAGTATGGGATATCACAAAAAAAAAAAAAAAAAAAAAAAAAAAAAAATTGTACTACATACGTATGTATAATATGTATACACGATAACTCCCGCTGACATTGAAAGATAAGGCGCCTTCTCTCTCTCTACTGTGTGCCGCGCACAATATATACATATAGTCACACTGTAATATACACACTCACTTTTATATTATTATAAGTGGGTATATATATATATACACCTATATAAATATGTGCGTGTTCGCGCGACCTTATACAAAACACTGCCGCCTGCGAATTTATTGACGACCTTGGTTGAATATATAGGCGAGGGGGGGAGGGGGGACACCAGCCGGTCGTTATTTGGCAACTCATCACGAAAATTTTAAGCTCTTGCTCGCTCGCGCGCTCGTATCATCCGCACATCGCACGCGCGTTCGATCCTATACACTATTTTTCTCTATGTTTTTACGGCTGAGATGGTTATCAGCGCGAGTTTTAAGTTGTTCCCCCCCCCCTCCTCTCTCTCCTCTCTTTATCTCAAACCATCGATTCTTTTTATGCTAGATTTTTCCATCTACATAGTGGAACGTATTTGAAGCCCTGATTACTGTACATCAGGTGTTACAGACAAATGTAAGCAATTGGTGGAGTGAAAATTAAATTTTCCTTTTTTTTCACCTTATATCCTTCTTTCTCTTTCCTTTTTCCAGAGATTATTAGCTCGTTAGTTGGAGAATTGCAAGATCTTAAGTGCGTGTTAAAGGTATGGGGAAAAAAGAAATGTCTATTCTTATCTGTCGGGTTTTTTAATTTTTTTATTTTTTTATTAACAAATACCTTATCTACCGTACCTATAGGGTGATGCTTTCAATAAAACGTCAGCCGGAAAAAGATAAAACAGCACCGTCTTTGATAAGAGCTGAAAGAGCAAAAAGTCACACGACCAACCGATACGTCTAGAACTGTAGTGGTTGTATAAGAGTAATAACATACTGTGACGCTGAGCGCGTGGTAATAGCTTCCGAAAAATATATTTTCAACATATATATCTCCTACACCCCCACGGGATTTAGTGGGAGTGCTAAGCTGCTTTCTCAAATCGATATCAGTTCATCCTTTGGTTTTTTTTGTTTTTTTTTTTATCGTGATCACGCGTATATTTTACTATGAGAGATAGTTGTCGACTGCAAAAATAGACCCCGGGGTTTTCTAAATTTAAATTTTCGCTTTTTGCAGGCAACGTCGAAAAATCGAGGTTCGTTAAACTTGCACGCACATGTTACGTTGTTGCTGTTCCTGGCTCTTTTGCCAGTGTTATTGTTATTGTATATAAATATAATGCGCACGCTCACTGCCAATGGCCGCTTTTACTCGCGAAGAGGTAATTTTCGTACAGTATTAGCTGTAGTAGTGTACAGTTATTGACTACGTCGATTTTTTCATTCTCGAAAGTTTTATCGTATTTGCCGAGGAAGTGCATTTTTTTTGTAGTGAGGATTTTTTTTTCCCACGCCTGCTCCATTGCAACCAAATCAATCTTAGATGGTAAATTATGTATATATATATACAGGAGTGAGCGTAGAAAAGGAGCTTTTTTTCGATTTTTCAATCTGGATTCTCGATGTATAGGGGCAAAAAAATATATATATATATAACATCAATGCGCCGTGACTCACTAGTAAGAAAATATTCAAACAACGTATTTTCGATACTGACACTAGTTTATTATAAGATGAATAATAAACACTAGAAAACAATATTACCGTTTAACCATCTATTTTGTCTATTGACGTCGACAACAACCTGATAAATAATAGTGTGGTAAAAAAAAACTCACGTATCAAAAGAGGGGGCAGTAACAACATGACAAAAACTATGTACGTATATTCTTACACGACACAATAATATACGTATATAACGTTACCCTGAATCATTCGTCTTATCATTGCTGCTCGCTCGTGTTTGCATGTTTTTGGTTTTTTTTCTGTAAGACATACACATGTATATAGGTACACAAGACTCTTTAAATTACTCCTACCATGACCAGTACGTATCTTTAGTGTTTTGTGAGCATCAAGTACTTCTTCGTATCCACGTAGATTCGTTCAAAAACAGTCCCCCCCCCCTCCTTTCTCTTCGCACAAGTTATAAAGGTAAACTATCAAATTTGGTTTTCTACTTGCACCAAACCGAGTTTTGCAAACGACAAACTAAAAAACTAAAAACAAAACCACCCTCCACTTATATATAATATACTACCGGTTAAATGAGCACTCGAGAGACGGTCGCGAATCGATCGTTTGTTCGTTTTTCTCTCCGGCGCGTGCACATCACATACACCTACGCGCCACACATAAAACCCGAAAATCTGGCTCAAGTATCCGATTTCCTTTGTTTTCCCGTTTATTTCGAATCGTTTCAAGAGTCCATCCGGAGACAAAAGGACCGAGGGGGGGTCGCGAGCTTGCGAGTTTCATACGCGACTGGTTTTTTAATTGTCCCCGCGTGCGGTCCCTCGCGCAACCGCGCGTGCGGAGGAGTATCATCGTTGTTGTTTTTTAAACGTTGTATAAGTTTTTTTTTTTTTTTTTTTTTTTTTTGAGAAAAAAATGTATCTAGTTTTTCTTTTCCAGCAACGATCTACTTACCTTGAAAAACCTTGTCTTGATGCTTCAGTCGTGTGCCATCAGTTGCGCTATAATTAAAAGTCGTGTACCGCGCGTAGTCAATAAATTGATCTTAATTTGCTCAAAAACCAATAATTGCATCTTCAAAAAATCGCTCTTACGAATATGTCAAAACACGCCCAAACTCAATTCACCTTAGAAATAAAAATACGTACTTCTATACTGCCTACAGTGTAGCTTTGAGAAAAGCTCTTCAAAGACGAAGGGATAGGGTGGGGTTGCGTGAATAATGCAGCGACAGCCTAATGGAATAATAAAGTTCGTTTGAGCCTCCAAGTTGCAAACTGAATCTATTCAATTATTGACGATGTGCATTTCACTCCCGTGAGAGAGTACGTCTGTACATATATGTATCGCACACGCAAAAAAAAAAAAAAAAAAAAAAAAAAATGTGTTTTCTCAACTTTTTTTGTTGCGGCATCGCCTCAAACGTTTCGGGAACCGTCCTCGCGGTATCGAGTATCCCTCCGTTCTTACAAAATTGCGAGACAAGTAGGCGCGTCGTATTATGCCAACTGCGGTATATTTGATACAATGCCACACACGCACACACTGACCACCTCGCCATCCTAATATATACTATATTATACTTCTAAACAGCAACCTTCTCGACTCGTACAGCGGCATAATGTGCACACGTGGCGCGAAACAGCTCGAGTTTCGCTCTCTGAGTATGAAGTTTGTGGAGTAAATCCCAGTGTGCAGAATCATATATACACAACGGCATTTAGCTCTGTTTTTTTTTATTGCACCTGTTGTCATTCAATACACGCGCGTAAGAATTATAATATATATATTGTCCACTCGAGTTCAGTGTATACTCAACTCGCCTGATAAGTAAGTACATTCAACAGCCGATATGTATTATAATATGATTCATGCACGTACGAAATTTATTCAGACTCGACCCGTGGTCTCATAAATCTATTATTGCGCGCGTCCACTCTTTTCCCCGAGTCCCATATGTATCATGATGGGCTTATAACTTTCCCTTCGCGTTATCATCCTGGCGAGCATAAATTTCTTATCGGGTCACGAAACGCCAATGACGAATCAGCTCGTTGTCTTTACGTTGCAGATGGCGACATAAACAGCGGTGCATTATGACAAACAGCGGTGCCAAAGGCTACGCACCTCTGCAGTCCAGAAGGCGCTCGCAGCGACTATAGGTACTGCCATTGGTGGTGACAAGGATGTAGATTTCGCACGTGTACTCGTGCCACCTACTTTTGGACGTCGCATCATACGTACACGGTGGTGTAACGCAAGACACACGGAGGTAGAGGCGATGCCGAGGAGAAGAGCGCGCAGTCCAGGCGCTAGTGGACATCGGCACCTGTTCCGCGGACGGTTATCTTGAGGACATTCCGCTCGTTGTCGTTCTTCCATCGCGTAAAGTGACAATTGTTTTTTTTTTTTCCCTCACCCACGCGATACGGGATAGAGGATTTTCGGTGGCTTTTTTGTTGTTGTTTTTTTTTTTTTTTTCCTCATCCGCAAAAGAACGCGCGCCTGAAGTTGCGGGTGGCGATCGACGAGGTGAATGGTTCGTAACATGGCTTTTATGATGAAGAAGAAGAAGTATAAATTCTCGGTGGAGGTCGGCTTGGAGGAACTGACCGCAGTGCCGTTCGTCAGCGCCGTGCTCTTCGCCAAGCTCAGGCTGCTCGACGGCGGATCCTTTGTCGATCACTCCACGAGGTGAGTCTCTTTGGTTTTATACCTTGACATTTTTTTTTTTTTTTCCCCTCATAACTTCATGTTCAATGCATTTTTTTTAAGTAATTTGGTTGGGGGAATGTAATATTTTGGTTTTTTTACGTATGTATCATTTTTGTACATAATCTGATTATACACCAGAAACACTGTATGTTACATGGTGTATAAGGTGATTTACGTATGGGTGAAACTTTCAACAACAAATATACTTTAATCAGTATGTTTGTAGTGTTACGATTTTCATTATCAGTCGATTTGAGCCTTTTCCACAAGATAGTAGGTATATTGAAAGTTTCTGTATTTTTCCCCCTTGTAAAAGTTTACTTGCTCAAATAACTGTAAATAATTTCCTTTCCTTTTTTTTTCACCATAAAATAATGGATTTTGGTTTAACAAGTTAGTTGACGAAAGAAAACGTGTGAGTCAAATGTGTAAACAACAATTTTCTAATATCTAAAGGTCCAAGTGATGTTAGACGATAATTATGTTGAAGAAAAAAAAAAAAAAAGCAATTTTTAGTATCTAAAAAGGAAAAACGTATACAAGGTACTTAAACATTTTCCTACGTGCGTCATTCGGGCTAAGCGTCTACGTACTCGTTTATTTCGCACGTGAAATAAGTATACACTTGTGCGCGCACGGGTATATTTTTGTCTTTCGTCAACAAACGTAGCCGCTGCCTGTATACCCTTCCCCCCTCTTGACGTATTAATTTTTCCTGCAAAAAGGAGGAGGCAAAATATTTTTATTTCCACGAACCGCAGGGTGTGGAAAAATTATTCGGAAATTTTTTTCGCGTCCTGGAACTGATGAAGCAAACAAAACACTGCTGCCTCGCTACGCAACATTTTATACGAGAGAATTCCGCGAAAGGCTATTTTTATGGGGTGTGTATACCTTTCGATGATTGCAATATTAGGGGAAGAAAAAAAATCAATGAAAACCACATTACTAATTTATCGAAAATTTCAACAATTCCAATAATTTGAATCAAATCTCGTCATAGTAGTACGGGAATACAATCAATCGCAACCTCTGAAACGGCACTGGAAAAAAAAAAATAGGAAGCCTTGCAAAAAGTTGTTGAACGTCATCCGGTGGCACCCGCCATCGGGCAATTTTTTTTTTTTTTTTGCATCGATTTTTCTTTTCTTTCCCCACATGTGCGATTTTCAATAGGTTGTGATCATCCCACGCTACCGCTGCTTTGAATCCCAACGTGGAGAAAGCTACTCTGCAAAGAGACACAGCCGCGCACTTTTTCCATTATCCCCAGCACACCGGAGTCTATGCAACGTCGGTCTATATAACTCCGCTCTCATATACACCACTGCCTTGTGTGTTATTTGCATATAGGATATGAATGCCTTTCTGATGTATACGGCATATTTTCCGAGTCGGCTATAACTCCACTGTACGATTTCCTTTTGTACACCGCGGGGTACGCGCGGTCATAGGGTCCGATGAATTAATTTTCCTCTATTTTTTTTTTTTCTTTTTTTTCACGATATTACAGGTATTTTCATCGAGAGGAGTATAAAATTTTTGCGTCACCTCTAATTAAAATGTTATTCAGAGCTGAGAGAATCATTATTTACTTTTTATTTTTTTTTATTGGTATAGCAAGGACAACAGATATAAAATTTCATATCACAACGCAACCCAACATCACTATTTGGTCAGTAGATTATAAATTAATTCGGCGACTTTAAACGGCTGGTCAGAAGAACATTTATATTGAAGTGGTACTTCATGCGCACAGTACTCGATTAGCGTTTCTCGTTAAACAAGGTCTTTTTTTCTCTCTGTAATCGTTTCCCATTGTAAAAGCAAATAAAACACTGGCGATGAAATTACTTTTTCTCTCTCTTTCTTCTTCCCCCCTATTGTTCATAAACTATAAAACACTCGACAAATGACCGGTGTGGAAAAATCGATGCGGCCTCGACAATATTACATGTATAGATTCCAGTTTACGAGTTACAAAAAAAAAAAAAAAAAAAAAAAACTTTGTACAACACCTAATTCCACCTCCGCGGGATATTACGGGCACGCAATTACTCTCGAGAGTTCATTTTACGTAGAAATCAAAAAGTACGCACATCCCAAGTTTTAACCCTCCCCCCATTGCTTCTTCATTAATTCCAATTGCGCGCCTGTGTATGTATATACACCTCCCCTCTTGTAAACACATATACAAATAATAAAAAAAGAAACGCCCGCTCTGCAAGTATAGGTAGTCGGTAATTTTTCACCTGCGAGCTGAATTAACGCCAAAGCCGCTGAGGTTCAAGGTCCGTTTCCTTTTTTTTTTCTTTCTTCGTCGACTCGTTATGCTCATCATCGTCAAGCATGGCTGGGACTCCGTAAAGTGTATTACTTATCCGCCGAGATATTAACGAGCACACATAAGGGGGGAGAACGTTGGTACTCCTCTTCTGGTTTTTTTTTTTTTTTTTCCCCTTTCCTCACTCAGTTTTAATCGAAATGTAGTGCACAGGAGGCGATCGCGTGCTGCACGTTACGTGCTCCCATACACCGATGTGTTGCCGTACACGGCAGATGCACACCGATGTAATAAAAGTGTAGTTATATGGTGTGGGGGTGGAGGATACTCATTTCGGTGCTGTTGAATCGGAATGACGTGTTGATGGATTTTTTTTTCTTCTTTTTTTCCTTAGCTCAAGGTATAAGGAACGATGTTGGCCTTGTTTCAAAGTCACGGGTATACATTCATACATCTACGTGAGCTTCGTACTGCTTCTTGGAAATCTAAATCGAAATTGAAGTTTGCTTGCAGCTTTCAATCACTTCTTTTTTTTTTTTTTTTTTTTTTGCAAAAAATGCAAAATGCAATTTTAACATTTCAAAGTATAGGTAATATTAATCGATATATGTTTCTTTTCAAATAAAAACACAATAACGTCCTGGGATACACATAAATACAGTGCACACGTGCATTTGGTCGACATTAAAATGAGCGTATGATTATGTGTGTGCCATAAAAAGAAAAGAAAAAAAATTGTACTTACTCTGGCATTAACGTCGCCCGAAGTGGGTCAATGTAACGTGGATAAACATCGGCAACTCGGTTTAGTTTGGTTACACAGCCTTGTGCGACTCTTTCGGAGATAACATCGGTAAGTAGTACATAAAAACTATGTAATTAGATATGTAGTGCATCCAAACAGAGCTACTGAACTTTTTCCCTTCACGTGTACATTAACCAAAACAAACCTCGTGAGTCCAAGGGATGAAAAACAACCCGAACTGATAACCAAGTCCCGCTGGATTTGCATCTTCGCGTGCAGGCCAACGTGGACGGAAATAAACTCAAAAGGTACAACGTATACCCACAGCCCAGCATCATATATGAACCTCGAGCTCGTATAATGGCTATCGTCGTCATCTCGATCGTTTTACGAGCGGCATTTATCGGGTGCCCATATAACCCCGAGATCGACAGCACTTCTGCGCACGTAAACCAGAGCGACAACAACATCCTCCCTTTGGCAATCAAACGCGCAATAACGTTTTCGGGGCTTCCTTAATCATCCTCGGCTGCTACTTATATGAATACACTGCAAAGCATAATATATGTACCAAAATAGCCCCTTATCGAGTACTTTGCCATCATTACAATACACGCTTCGGTGCAATAATTGCGTTGGCAACGGTTGGCAAACAACTTGGTTATATACATATATGTGTTCGCGTTCGTGCAATTGTATATACGAGTTTTTCAGAGAAACCGCGAGTGCTATTTTACCCGAGCTAATTGCCACGATATTCGATCTTGAATACAAATATACGTGAGCAGCACGCAAAGTACTTTCCGAGTTAATAATATCGAGAATTGCGTTTTTCCGATGAAAACGATAGGCAGCCTTTTTTTTTTTTTTCTCTCTCGTTACGCTTATCGTGTCACACAGCGACGAGGCGTTAATCTACGATATATGCTTTTTTTTAAATAAATAAAGCTAAATAATTGAATGTTGGAGAAAAAGAATAATTGCAGGATAAAATCGAGAGTGGGAAAAAATGGCCACATGTCAATACCTATTGTGTCGCGAGAGCCATAGCGATTGTAGCCGACACAAAGGCCTCTGTGGCGTTAAAAATCGGCAAAACATCCATACCGTCGCCGTTGCGATGGATACATTTTTCGCGTAAACACGCAATTTAGCGTTGGCTCTATTGTCCATTTGTCAATTTTGTATTTGCTGAAAAATAAAATGACAGTCCCTTTGCATTACTGTGTACGTGTGTAGGTGCATGAGATATATGTAAAAGTACACGTGTATAATTTCCTGATGGAGGAGGAGTTCTGCTGTGCTGGCGATTGATCTTTATCATCTACGATCACACACAGCACACGTACGCTTTATTATCTCTATCTCTCGAGTGCTTTTTCTTTTTTTGTTCTTTTTCTCTATGCGAGTGTATACAGAACCCGATAAAAACGATTTTTATCCCGTACAGCAATGGGTTTTTGTTGTTGGAGAATTTTTGTGTAGAAAAAAAATTTATTGTTTTTGGTTATTATTGGAACATGTGAGTTTTCCGTTCAACAATAGTATGAGTTTTGTAGACACGTGTGTTTGATGCGCAAAATATGTCAACTGTGACGGTCGAGTAGCAGCCGCTCGTGCAATTTTCATACACAATGTACAAGACGCGCTAAACTCGTGGTGATGCGTTGCTCAGATAAAATGTATTTTGCACACCTTTTGTGCAGGTTGTTTTAGAAATGTAAGTAGGTATAGGGGTATGCAGGTCCTTGGTTAACACGTTGCCTTCGATGTACATTACTGGAAGCGAAAAAAAAAAAAAAAAAAAAAAAGAATGTTCTAGCTATTAATGCGACCTGCCTTTTGTACTTATCATGTAATTTTCACGAGTAATTTTACGACTGACAAAAATGTTTGTTCTACAAAATTCATAAAATTTCATACCTCAATTAAAAAGCTATATTTATTAGT